TTAAATTCCACTGAGGGCTTCTCCTCAAGAACTTGTGGAAATCTCTCAGTGAAGTCATGTTGAGATTAGGGCAAGTTTCTGCTGAGCAGCACGACTGAAAATCCTCAGCGCTTTGGTTTGCTGCTAAGTGGAAAATGCAAACTGCCTTCCACAGAGCCTACAGCTACAACACCAAACAAACAGGAGAAAGTGTTGGGGTCAGGTAGATGCGTGGCTGGAAGAGCTCTCTACCAGGAACCAGCAGCCCTCCTGGGGGCAGAGGCATGGGGCCGGCCAGCAGTGGTTGCCTCTGCTCTCTGTGAGGGGGCTGGGATTGCGTGTTAGGCTCTAGTTACTGTGGGACATGGCTGAGGCTTGACCTGCTTTTTTAGCCAAGCTCCGGTCTTATGAATTCAATAGAAAAACTTACGTGGACCTCAGTGGGACCTGGGTTTGGCCTAACATGCTGTATTTGACATTGTGAGCGAGGGAAATATTTTTCTTAAGATTACAGTTGAAAGATTCTTGGGTTTCAGCTGAAGCCTTATGGTGGCAGAGCATTGCACACAATTTTTTCTTTCTGTTTCTTGAGTGAATCTTATTTCTTCTGCACTCAGCCTCCGAGCAGAACCTCTATGCCCAAACCTCAGTAAACACAGCTGCTGGGGGACATCCCCGTGCATGCACCCTCTTCCCCCTACCCCCATTGGCCACAGGCACCTGGTGGGGAGCTTGGACAAAAGGAAACTGTGGCTGTAAATTCACGTCCGCTTCTCTGTGTGCTGAGGAGGGGGAATTGCTGGAGCCAGAGCCAGAAGGAGAGAGCTGTGTTAGAGTCTATCATATTTGTGAAGTACATATGTGATAATACCACTGCAACCACAAAAGAATTTACAGCAGGAAGCATTGCAGCTGTTGCTTATTAGCATTAGTACAAATTACACAAAGCAAATTGTTAGCAGACATGTTTCCATAATATTTAACTCATGGCAGTGAATAAAAGTGATTTTTTCTCAAGCAAAATTTTAGATTTCCAGGGGAATCAGTTTCCAATTGTCCATGAAGGGAGAGTGGATTGGAAGGCAGCATGCAGCTATCGCAAGGACCGAGGCAACGTGTGCAGAGATCTGCCCACTTTCTTTGGTGAGAGGGTGCAGATTCAGGATTCCATTTCTTGGTGAGAAAAGAAAACCCACACGACTCCATCCAACCAGTTATGGGTAGCAGTGCCTGGGACCAGCTCTGCAGCTGTCATGTTAAGGTTCTGCACACAGAGATGTTGGAAGAAAAGAGAGGCTTTTGCTGACCTGCAATTTCCCAAGATTTTTGCCCCCAAAGTGCTTATTGTGAACTATTTTCCTAGCAACCCCAAGCCTGTTGGTACAGATGCAGCGCAAGTGAGCATAACAGCACCGTGATGCCAGCTACGAAGGGAGGATCAGGGGGAAGTGGAGACCAAGTCTGTGTAGGAATGAACCAACATGCTTTTTCTTAAGAAAGACGTGTGACTCTTGACAGACTGCTAACAAACTGTAGAAATTGAGCAATTTGTTTCAGGGCAGTAACAACCCAGAGTGATGTTTTGCAGCCCGTCTCAAGGGTGCCTGGCTGCATTAATCACAGCGGCCAGAGCTGCTAGTGCTGCAAAGGGCACTGTGCTCCTCCAGCAAGGCAGTGCACTCAGAGCAGTGGAAGCATTCCCTTGAGCACTTCTGGAAACCCAGTTAGGACTGGGAGGGGGGTATTTGTCAGGGTGGGAGATGGGGCCATGACAGTCAGTGTGAGGGCAATGGAAGAGCTGCTCTGTAGCCACCAGTTCTGCTACTTCTCATGCTTTGCAGCTGGCACTTCAGCAATGGAAGAGCTCTCCCCACATCTTCAGGCTTTACCTGCTTTTTTGTTTTTCTTAAAGCTAAGGCTCATGAAGTATTGAAACTGCCTAAAGCAAGCCAAGTGCCTTCCAATGCAGCTGCATTTAAAAGCAGAGAACAGGCAAATGCATTGCACACAAAGGACAAACACATCCACCCATCTGTTTGGAAGAGTTAAGAACTGCAAGTGGTTGGATGCAGTCTGAAGTGAGAGCTGGGAACAGAATAGCAAACTAAGCAATTTATACCAGCAGTATGTAAACAACAGCTAACACAGTGTAACAGAAATGCTAAGCCACAGTGCTTGAGCACCTGGTGGAAGGTAGGACCAAACCAAATGAACTCAGGTGCATGCAATGTACCTGAGTGATGGGAAGGGGTGGAGCCAGAATATACCCCCTCCCAGACCTCATTTAAGGGTTGGCAGTGGAGATAAGGATTTCTTACTGGAGATTGCTGAGGCCTTCCAAAGGTAAGCAGCCTTCCCCCCCTTTTGTTTCTGTGTCTATAGCTGCTGCACTTAAGCTTGTCTGTCCTTGCTGCAGCCTGGGACTCTGCTACCCTGCTGTCATTGCTGTGTTTTCCATCACATTGTAGTGTTACATACAGGTAGGTGACTCTTCATGCCTCGCTCCTGGCCTGACACGCTCCACACAGCACAGGTGTCTTAACCATCTCCCTGACAAGACTTAAGAGAGGAAGAACTAGTTCTAATTGCAGTAATGATTATCTCCTGTTTGCCTTTTGGTGAGGGGGAAAAAAATACAAAAACACCAAAAAACCAAACATGCAGCATGGAGTTTCTTTTGTAAGCTTTACTTTTTTAAAACCAAGTCACTGAATGCCTCCTCTGTAAAAGGTGGCACATTAAATATCATGGCTGGAACAGCCTAAAAGTTCCATATCAAATGAGATGCACCATTGACTGTATACATTAGATACATACATGAAAACTATTCCAGCATGTTAAATGTACGAACACTGTTGTCACTGCTGTGGTGTTATCAGTCTTCTCAGCTGCAATCTCTGCAGGGTGGAGATGGAAGAAAAGGGTGAAATGTAGAGCTGGAAGGAAATGATTCCTTTTTCAGGGAATTCTGTAGCACTGAATCTTTTTTTTTTTCTTTTTTCCAGTCTCCGAACAAAAAGTGAGTTTACAGAATCTCCAGGAAAATACAGTGAAAATACATGTTCTAAGAATCAGCCTGTGTAGGGTTCAGTACGTTGTGTCCCTAGGTAGCATGTGACTTTTCATTTAACATCCTTACTTCAGCTATTCATTTTATAAATGCTTTAACATGGAGACAAGATCTGCAGAAAGCCATCCAGTCACATCAAGATCCAACTCTGCAAACATGTATGGACTACTTTGTTAGTCTGGGGATAGTTCCCAGGAGTTTACTGAAAGTCTTGTGGGATGTCATTAGTCATACCATGGATGGCCTAATAGTGGTAGAACAAGGGGGAATGACTTTGAACTGAAAGAGGGACGGTTTAGCTTAGCTGTTAGGAGGAAGCTCTTTACTCAGAGGGCGGTGAGGTGCTGGCACAGCTGCCCTGAGAAGCTGTGGGTGTTCCATCCCTGGAGGCACACAAGGCCAGGTTGGATCAAGGATTTCCAGGATTAGATCTTGAAGTGGTACCTTTTCATAGGAGTTATATTCTAGCAATGTGCACCCAAATGAATTTCATTCCATGAGGTATTTTTTTGTAATATTCTGCTATATTCCAAAGCTGCAATGGATGCTCATATCTTGCCTATTATCACAGCTCTGTTACCCAATTCTGTTGAGGTGAGCTTCAAAACAACCCGCATGATCAACAAACATTTGCTACCACTCCTTGTCATGCACCGAATGTTTAAAACTGTATGGATGTGTCCCTTCATAATCCTCCATTTGTGAAGGATGAAGATGAGGGCATACCTACTCCACAAATCACTTCCTCACCCTTTGACTTGCCTTTCTCTTGGTGTGGCTACATAGAATATCAACGAGCACCTCTCGTATTTGTGTAAGAGGCCAGGGAGACCTTGAGTCTACTTGAAAACATGCAGATATGCTGAAAGCAAGTGTGCATTGTCCTCTGCAGCAGTGCAACCAGGCAGTGGCCATGCAGCACCCTCCTTGGCCCTAACCATTGCTGCAGTGCACAGCAGTGTGCCTTCCTCATGGGGAATATTCCCACCTGCCAAACAAGAGCAAACCCAGAAATTCTGTGTTTTTTTTCTTTTCTTTGAGTGCTGTGAACCAATACATCAGGCAGAAAGGTGGGGAGATGATGGCTGAGCGTGCCAGACTCCGTGGGAGCCATCCACCCCCTCTTTAACCTAACAGGAAACATCCTGTCAGAAACGCTTTCTGCACTGGGACTTTTCTTGAAATAATTAACTGTAACCGGTGACGGCTTGTCCTGCTGGGAGCCTGCAATTCCTCCTGGGTATTTAGAGATGTGCTGGTTAGTAGAGTCAGATGGTCAGAGCTCATCAGATGGAAAGCACCATGTCGTCACAGCTCCAGCCTCAAGTCTATTAGGGCTGCTCCCTCTAGTGGGAAAAGGTACTTCAGCTGCTATAAAAACCTTTTCCATCTTTTTATTTCATAAAATAAAATTCTTTTTTTCTCTCTTAATTTTCCTTCTAATTTTTTTTTTTTCCTTTTTTTCTTCTTTCAAACTGAAGAATTAAACTTTTCCAGATTTTAGTGCAAGACACAGGGTGGCTCCTGTTCAATGTTGGCTAACCAAAGGGCACGCGTTCCCCCAAACACTCTGAACATGTCAGCCCAGGCAGCGCTGTGTCCCACCCCATCCCTTCCTGGCAGGCAGCCAACGGTCTTTCTGCCAGCAGTCACTGTTTGCTTTTGATTTTCCCCCTTCTGATTACAAAAATAGGACTTACTATAATCATAATAACATTAATGGTACAAAATAATTACTGTAATTATACACTTTTTGGCAAATTATTAACACAAAGCAGCCCGAAAGCTCCCATTGGACTAAAAAAATTGCGAAGATGCACAAATGTTAAAAAAGACAAAGTCTTTGTTAAAGAGGGGAAAAACAATCTTCAAAAGAATGCATTTCTGTAAGGCAGCATGTTACCTATAGTTTTTTGTCTAGATTTAGGTTCTGCTGTTGTTCAGGAAGCTGTTAGAACTTGGCTTGCTTGAGCTTATCGATGTGGTAGCACAGTTTCAGCGCAGGTCCCAGTTTCAGCCCCAGGTATTTCATGATCATGTCACTTTTCAGCAGCAACAAAGCATTGCCATCAATCTCCTGATTTCAGAAGAGAGAAAGAGAATCAAAATACGTAAACCCCCTGCTTCCAGCACCACAAAAGCAAGATGTCAGTGCTGTAATCCTGACACATTACCCAGGGTGAATCAGAAACGGCACATCATAGATGGAAATGTCATGAATTTTGAAATTTCATTAAGAAATTGAAAGCTGAAGTAGGATAAAAGGAAACTCTAAAGGAGCTTTTAATCAAATATTACTACTTATTCTTCAATGAACCCTAAGGTTTGTCAATGTTTTTGATTCTTTGACAGCAAAATCATGAGGATTTTTTTTTTAAACATCAGACTTGCTCCAAGCCCAGTTCTGAGAAAACTGATCTTAAGAGAAAGGAGCAAGTGATGGAGAGATGTGGCCTCATTAACTGCTAATAGCACACCTCTGAATCTCAGCTTTGTTCCTGGCTATCTGCATATTTCGTGTATCCTCAGTACACTTACACCCGGTGATACATGCAATTAGTTTCTTAAATTGAAAGCAGTAATACCATAATTCATTTGCCACCAAGTTCATCTGTTTATACCAGACCTTTGGCTTGAAAAACCTTTTGTAACTACAAAATGCTGTGTTAAGCACCAAATAGCACTGGTGTACAAAGAGGTGGACGCTGTTCCACTGCGGGTTCTCCTATGACTGTAAAGCACAGAAGCTTCCAAATACAATGCCCTACTTCTGTTTCTGAGCTTGCCTGTTTGTTTTTTTTTCCCCCAACTGTATTAGGAGAGCTGCTTAAAAATAATAACTCTCCTCTTGGTCTTCACCTCGCTTTGTTGCTTGGAGAGCTAAAACATAACTAATGAATATGAGTGCATAAATGCAGGCATCCACACAGGAGCATTAATGCTGTATATATTCTATTTGATGGTTTTCACAGTGCTTTTTTCCTCTGTGATCCATTACCTACTAATTAAGCAATACTATGGATCCTAATTTGCCCTGATCATTATTATTCCATTCAGCAGGTGATTTAGCTGATGAGCAGTTAAGGTCACTTTCTGATTAACTCAATCAATTGATGCTCTTCATTCTGCAACCCCCACTCCATCCATTACAAAAACTCTCTTTGCTCTCCTTCTCTCCTTCCCATTATTTTAAAGAAGCTAAAGAAAAGAAGATTAAGTATCATATTTAAATTAATATTTGCTTATAAAACCGTACTCCTGGAGATGCGATGCCATTGGGTAAAATCACTGTCAAGGTATTTGGTGTGAATGTAACTGTTTCTAAGTGTGGAGTTCAACATTTTATTATTTCCTCTATTATGGTGGAGTAGAGGTCAAAATAACTAGAGCATGCCATAGGGAGAATTCATATTTAATCAATCCAAAATACCCCCATATTAGCCAAATCCCTATACAGATTGTTGACTTGGCTTCTCTCCAGTATTATTGTCATCCCTTAAAAAAATAAATAAATAAATAAAATGTGGGATTCTATAACATGGCTCCCCAGTTTGCAGTAGAAGATCTTGAGTCAGATCTGGAACTGTTAAATTCAATGCAATCAGCTTGTTTCACACACATTAGTTGAGATCTGGCCCACTGCAAGTTAGAGTGCTGCAGTTTTTCTGCAAGAGATGGGGACAGCAAATGTATGGGCTGCAAGATAATGATACAAGGAATTTGAACATACAGCTTCCAACTGCAAGAGTGGGTACTGCTGAGCTCATGCTAGTTTCTTTGCACGTGTTTTGAGTGGGCACTGATCAAGTCCCGTGCCTTCAGCACAAGAATTGTACCTGGTGGTTGATTCAAGCTTCTGCTTCTGGTGAGGAGAGCAGAGCAAGAGCCACGGACAACCTGTGACATGTGTTGAAGCTGTGGTCTGTGCAGGCTACACCTCCCTACAACCAGCAGAATGGCTCTGGGCACTGCGGTCAGCACTCACATGGACCAATATAGCAAAGGGAAAGAGTTCTGTCAATATGCAGGATACCTCCCCACCCTTCCCCTCCTCGTGGCCCCACCATCTTCTCCCTCCCAGTGTCATAGCTCAGATGAGCTGACTGCCACAGCAACAATTTCAGGTGACAACTGGGCCTTGTCAATGACAGTAAGTGCTTCTAAGTAAATTATGCACCTGCTTCATAGAAAGATTGAATATACAGGAAGATATGACTAAGGTTAATGGACTAATCACTTGTCTCTCACCCCTGGGGTCTCTGTGCTAATCCAGATGAGGTTTGAAGGCTGAAAAATTGCAGGGGCATATATAACTCCAAGGCGCAATTGAATTGAGTTGTGTGGTAATCTTACCCAGGTTCTCAAACCTACTGCATATTTTACAAGGAAACCAGTAATGAGTAGAGCCCAGTATTAGAGTAGAGGTGCTGGGTGCTTGACCAATGCTGACAGAAACAGTCTTCAGAGGCAATTTAACTTGGTCTCTTTGGTCACAGAGCAGTGACAGTATTGTAGCATGGCATGCTTCAGAGCAGCAGGCCCAATGAGCCAAGATTAAATATTCTTCCTGGCAGTGTACCTGGGAGTGTGCACTTCACAGACCAGGGCAATCCTCTCTACTGGTGCACAGCTCCTTCTACAAGTCTCAAAAATTCACGTCAAAGCAAGTTTCCTTAAGTCTACATGTGCCTCATTTATCTTCCTGATACCTATTTGGCCAATGTGGGCCATCTGACTCCTCTGCAGAAAGCAGGGAAAGAAAGCTAGCACCTGGTCTGCAATCAAAGGTTTGATCCTAGCATGGCTGTGCCTGCTCTGTCCTCACCCCATCGCCCTGCCTGCAGGTGTCAGATGGTCTCAGTCCCTGACTGTGGTGAGCATCCATCGAGGCTCATGCTCTGAATTGGCCAAGGAAGGGTGGATGAGGCTGAAGATGTAGTGATATGTGGTGCTACCAGATCCAGCAAAAACAAGAAAATCCTGATCAGATATTGTTTACAGTCTACTAATTAGGATTTCTTCACAAGAGATGGCCTAATGAAGGCAGCTATCATATTCCCCAGTAAGTCATCTGGTCCTTTAAATCTGGTTATGTAGTTACATAATATTAAAAGTCCACAAATTTGGCTGTTTCAGGCTTCTGCTGCTAAATGTCCACAGATATATATATATATTAAAAATTATATATATAATATATATTATATATTTTATATTATATATATTATATTTTAAAAAAGCTCTTTGGAGAGGAATCACAGGTATCCTGGAAAAAAAAAGAAGTGTTTGAAGCACGTTTTTTTTGCCACACAATCTGACAGTGAAAAAAAAAACACCAGATCCTGTATGATTTCTGTTAGGTTTAGCATAATGATTTATGCTGGCATGGTGAGAAGAAATAATGAGCATTTCCTAAAGATGTTGTTAGGATTTTACTATTGAGGGATAAGTGAATGTTTCTTCACCCTAGCCCCCTGTTTGATGTGAACCCCTTGCAGGGCCCTTTGCTCAAACCATCTGAGCACAGGCACTCCCTATAGCAGCCATAGACAGGGCGCACGTGGTATGCTGGCTGTCTCTCTTGCAGGTGACTTAAATCCCCTAGAAGCACTAAGAGCAGCCTTTACATACGTGTTTTCTGAAGAGCTCCACGTGAGGACCTAAAGCGTGAGGGTCTGCATCCTTCACAAACCAAATCACATCATCCACGGTCCAGGTCAAAGGATTCTTGCTTGATGGCCGAGCCACGTCTTGTCGTTCTGGTGAAGGACTTGAGGCTATCGATACAAAAAAGCCCACAACAGCACATTACAAAAGCATGCAGTGATTTCCTTGGTTTGTGGGCATGCAGCAGTGCAGCAGCCCCACGTGTTGGATGTTGGATCTGTGCGTATCAGCCTGAGCTGATGGGGTGAGAGAGAAGGGACTTGGCAGTTTTGGATCCAACTGCTTACCAGGAGATATGATCCCAGCTGGTGAATTGTGTTAAAAAACATGAAACACTCAGGTTCCTGCTGGGGAAGGAACAATGTGCCAGCTGCCAGCCTCTTAAACTGAGCTGCCCCTGCTGTCTGATCTGCAAACACTGGGGATCTCGACTCCAGAAGACACAACCCTCCCACCTGGAGGCATGAAACAAAGGAGCTTGCCATTAAATGCAAAGGCTAGGAGATAAAATTGGGATACAGCAAATATTTTATTTCTTTGCATCCAGACATTCAGTCTTTTCTTGAAGCTTAGAGGTGGGTTCCTACTGAATGTTCTGCTCACGTGAAGCTAAAGGTCCCCAGTGAATGCCTGTTTGGAGATCTACTAAAATACATGGAGATGAACACTGCACATGTGACTTTTTAATGGTGTAAGCCCTGGATGATTTAAGGTCACTTTGACTTGCTGTAGCTTTAAATCAAGTGAATAAAGGCATATCAGAATGAAAGTGCATTTATGTTTTTATTCTTAGTCTCTGCAGAATTATAAATCTTAGCCTTAGATGCATATAATTTGCACACATACATATACCCTTACGTTGTTTCACTATCCCAAGTACTGTATTATGCTAGGTTACAGGAAATCCACACAATGCAAACTTTATATTCACAGGCAGCAGCACAGAAATGGATGTGATGTTACTTGCCAAGACTTGCTCATCAGTTTCTGCTAAGGTTCAGTTTTCAATGAGAGATGTAGGTGGTAAGCAAGCAGGCACTGCAGGAGACAGAAAGGGAAGCAGAAGAGTGCAAACAGAGGGAGATCATGGATAGCTAAACTGGAGCCTGGAGAGGCCCCAGGTAGCAAGCAGGGGAGCCAGAATGGCTTCAAGCTGCTGAGGAAAGAAGGGCTGATCCCTCCAGAGAAATTCTGAGTTCATAAAATGTGTGAGAATACCACGCGTGGCTCAAAACATGATAATGCGTATGAGCAAATGCAGTGGGCGGGGTTGGTGGCTTATGTAAATCCTTGTTCTGATGACTTCAATAGAACCGTGCTGATTTATGTGAGTGGGGGTCTGCCCATCTATGCACAATGATGGCTTTATGTGCATATTGGTCCTTTTTTCTTGCCGCATCCGCATCCCACAGTATAATGTAATGAGGTATATTTTGCAGTTATAAAGGATGAACTGTAGAAAGCAGCAGCGCTATGAATGTGTGAATGTGGTCGATGGGCTTCATAATGGGATGTGATGTAAATATCATGATAATTACACTCTCATTTGCTAAGTCACTGTTCTGGATATAAAGGACAAGGAATAGCCGCAGGTCCTCTTAATTAGACAGTGAGGATTTGTGTTCATATGGACTCATGCGACCCTGGGCTCTGCTCGCAGAATAAATGCAATACACAGTGGTACAGACACCATCTGGACTCTTTGGCATAAAGCGATGAAGATGAAGAGTGCAAAACGTATGGGGCAATTTCAGCCAGCCCCTGGATCATCAGTAATATTGAGCAAGTTTGTCAGGGACGAGTGAGAGAACCTCGACTTGCCTGGGAGCTGGAGGAGCCAGCACCTGCAGGAGGCTGCTGCAGTCTGACACGCCAGCAGCACAAGCTGAGTGTGGGCACCACGAATTGAGGGCAAGGGGAAAAATAGAGAGAGGACTGAAAGGCTACTCAGTGCCTGTAAGGTTGCAGAAGTTTTAATGCCACAGCAATAGTGTGGTCAGGGAACATGTGCCACTACCGAGGATCACATTTTTTCCACTTAAATTTGCATGACTGCAAGGAAATCTGAGACGGCTTTGCCTGGGGTTCACACCAGGTGAAAGGAGAGCAGCCCTGGACCCAAGTGACTGCTGCCCAGAAATGCCCTTCTGCCAGAAATGCGTTGCTTCCAGAAATGCCAGGAAAGGGTAAAGGGAAGTAGCAAGCCCCTGGGAGCAGCTGGGAGCCTCTGCGGGCATTAGAAATATTGGTAATATAAGGAAGTGGGGTGAGAAGAAAAGGTTGAAATGACAGGGCAAACTCTACTCAGTGCTCTGCAGTCTAGCAAACAATAGCATAAATCTGATTTTTTTAGAGAAATATAAAAATGACCTTTCTAAAGAATCTACATGGCCAGAACTCTTCCAGCCTCCAACAAGTGAAGGTAATCCTGTCAAACCCCACCCGCAGTAGAACCACGTAGAAACAAAAACTATGCATAGATATTAACTCTATTTTAATCTATATATATTCCTAGGTTCATGTCCTATATTCTCTGCTGCTTTTTCATGAATTGTGATATTTTCCTTGCATGTAAGTGGCTACTTTTAAATGCTGTCAGTAAAACTGGGATACCATCAGTTTGCAGACAGACATCTCAAATGCAGTTCATAGCTGGTGAGGTTGGAAGCAATCTGTTTTTCCATCTCTTTTAAAATGTATTTTGTTTCCTAATTTATTCTGACTTCTTAACTTTGTAATTTACCCATGTAAGTGCAGTTTCTTTATTTCTGAAAAAAATAAATCATTTCATGCCTACACAAAGGCACGAGTTCTCTGTTTCAATAGCATCACTTTGCTAAAAGATTATATTAAGCACAAAAGTGTTTGATGGCAGCAGGGCAAGTACTATACATTTTTTCTTATCTGAAGGTATTCACATTTAACCTAAGAATTAGATAAATGAGGAAGTCTCATGTCTCCTGGGTATCCTATGCCATCCTGTCATCAGAATTAATCAAGATGATAATGAATACTCAGATTACAAAGAGATGGGAGTGCTCAGGACCAATAATTATTTTTAGAGATCGTAATCTAGGTCAAATCCAATTTCCTGTTTTTGACAGGTGGCAAAAAAAAATTGTCAAATTAATGGAATGAGATATGGAAATTCAGGTAATCAAAGGGAAGCACTCCCCCTCCTGCCTGTGTTGGCACTGGAGAGGATGGGGAAGGAGCTCCCTGCAGGGGAAGGCTCTTGGGGCATCCCAGCTGAGACCATTGCAGGGATGGCTGGAAGTATGAGATCGGCACCCAACACCCAACAAAGCCAATGGCAAGACAGTGTTGGTGCAAAGGAGCCAGTGGTGGAGCTCTTGCCCCTCAGGCTTTTTTCTGAGCCCACTTCAGGCTCCAGATGTTCCTGAGAAGGAGGGTGAAGGGAGGGAAAGCCAACAGCTGAGTGGCTGCAGAGTCACAATGAGAAAATACAATGCTAAAGTGGAGTTAAACCTGTGAAAGAAGGAAAGATAAATAATGGACTCCCTAAATATGTTCTTGGCAAACAAACAGAGCCCCAAGGGAGTGTGGCCATTGATAGATAAGAGTGGAAAGGAAGTGACAGATGAACTTTAATATTGCTGCAGGCCTAAATGATTTCTTTGCCTCAGGGAAAAGGGGTGGGGATGAAATTTTAAAAGGCTCTCTCTGATCGTACTGGAGCAGTTAATGAGGAGCAGCAGATCCACTGAAAGTAAGCCAAAGTAGCAGGACCTCAATGGTACAGAGGGATAGGAAACACTTCTTTAAAAAGCCCTTCCACCGCATGTGAGGACAGGAGGAGGGCTCTGCAGGAGAGGCTTCCTGAGACAGCAGGCAGCACCCACAGTGTGGCATGGGGACGTGATGCCACAACTGCCAGAGCAGCCCTGCTGATTGAGATACAGCCATAAACTGGTGGCAAACGCTTACTGGGGCTTTCCTTGTCTCTCTTTTGAAGAAGAAAAAGAAAAGCTCAGTGCAGGTGTCGAACCTTCCAGGTTGCGAAAGTGCCCTCAAAACCTGGCAAGCTGTGCACACAGAAGCAGCGGGACCAGGGCTGAGCTTCTATTCCCTTGCCATTGCCTGGAGGAGGTGCTGAGCCTGGCTCCCCTGCAAGGTGCTTGCAGCATTCATCTGTGAAAAACAACCTTCGAACCCTGTGCCTGAAATGCTGTCAGGAAAAAAATGTATTAAGCAAGTGGGACTGTCTCTTTAACAAAGACCCTCGGGGGTAATAATTAACTGTTAATATTGGATAATAAAATCTGCATAAAGTCCCCAGGCTATAGGCAAGGTTGAGGCTGTTACGTTGCGGCTGAACGCACAATTCTTCACACTTGGGATAAAGGGTTTGTTTGTCTTTATATAAGAAGGCTTGGAAAAGTTTATGGTTTATGATGTCCTTGACTATTCCTTCTCAGATTTAAGAGCTTCAATTTGGCAGACGATGACAGCAAAGTGCATGTTTATCTCTTAGTAGCCCCAACTGGCTTTCTGAAATGAGATTTTTTTGTTTGTTTGTTTGTTTGGAAATTTTTAGCATAGTCATGGAGAATTAGGCATCATGCTTCCAATCGCATTAATGAGAGCTTTGGGTTTTAATCTCATCCATTCCCCTTGAAAAGCTTGTTCTGCTATGTGCTGAGATATGTTTTGCAGTTATGATTTTTGCCACAATGTTTGCCCACCCTGATAAATAAGGCATGCTATTTTTCTGATATATCAATTAATAAAATGGATTGACCTGAGGTTTTGGAGATAAATTCTTCCTCTTTTTAATGAGCCCTGTCCATCCCTGTCTTTAAGTAAGCAAACTGAGGAGGATTAAAACGGATGCATGTATGCACCAATTACTCATCTCTGCCCGTTTATGATTCAGGAGCATATGAATTGTCCCTAGAAAGTGGAAAAGCATACACACAAGCATCATGTTGAGAGCACGGATTCCTAAGACCTTTGAGAGAGATTTTGCCAAGACAGTAATCAAACTCCAGCGTAGCTGCACTGAAGCATTCATGGGAAGATACATATTTAAAAGGTTGTGATTACTATTAAAGTATAAAGAGAAAAATACATGAAAAATAGGATAGCTGTGAAAAAATAGAGTCTCTACCTTTAAGGAGAAGCAAACAGCACTTTGTAGAAATCCACAATGGGAATTCCAGCAGTACAGAGCTGCGCTACAGCACTGACACTATGGCAAATGGAGAAGGAAATGAAAGCAGACTGCCTGGAAGTTGCACTGTTTCCCTAAGGATGGAAGGGTTGCTGTAATAAATCTGTGGGCACCCTGACTTCATGGTTGTCACTGTGTTGTACGTCTCAGTCACTGAAAGCATCATGGCCGTAGGGAAGAGCCAACTGCTCTCCTCTGCTTCAGAGAAAGCAGATCCAGGGCAGTGAAGAAGTTCAGGGGAAAGGGGATGGTGGTGGCACAAACATTCACAAATCACTGGGGCAGATGTACAGAGGTGCACAGAGCACCTAGAACACAGGCAATTGCTAATCCTCCTGTTGGAGACATTGATGACAAACTCATCTCTATATGGATGTATTTACTCCTGCACATGCATACCCTCACTGTTAATAATTATAGATAAGTGCTATCAATAGATTAACAACTTTTTTTTGTGTGTGTGTGATGCTCTCTTCTTAACCATCAGCTTTAGGAGCCCTTACGGCTGAACTGGCCAAAATAACAGGGACGTTCATAGTCACAGAAGAGAAAATAATACAGCCGAGCAAGATTAAGCCCTGATTTTAAGCTCCAGTCTCCCGAACATAGATTCAAATCCATTATACAAAGGCTTTTCTCCACATAATGCACTTTTAAGCACAGGAACTTTACCATGGTGTTATTATTATTATTAATGCTGAAAACATGCAATGTATTCAATAAGCCATTGGGTAATTTAAGGGAGAAGAACCTATGACTGGTTACTCAATATGAATTCACCACTTCTGGCTCAAAGTCCTTCAGCCACCAATTTCTGAAAGTGGAGAGGGTGCTGGGGAAGCACTGCTGTGCCTGCGCTCAGCTCTGCCCTGGGGCATGCCTCATGCTGGAGACAAGATGCACAGCAAAGCAGAACTTCAGAACTTCGATCTCAGCTGCTCTGACATTTTCCTGTACACTACGAAGAAATATCCAGAATGATGAAGGTTTTCAAACCAAGCTAGTAACAACATTGTTAAATCTTGGCTTATTGCAGAAGCCCTTCCAGTTTCCAGGGGAAATGCAAAAAGCAATGTAAGAAGCCAATGCTGGACAAAAAGGTTAGGGGGAACCAGCAAAGCTACAGCAAATATATCAAGAGGAAAAAGTAACTGGAGTGACAGTAGATTCCATTAATATATGAGGAAGGGGAAGAAATTAATGACTTGAAAATGGCTGAGATATTCAACTCCTTTGTTAAATCTACCTTCAAGATGAAAAATGCATAAATGAAGTTTGAATAATTAGTAAGGGGTGAAGACACTATTCAAATGGCCACTGATAAAGACCCATTCATGGAGGAATTGAAAAATGCAAATAAAGAAAAAGCAGAAGTTCAGGGAATCACCTAACTCATTCGATGAACCCAAGTCTTTTCTGGGGTGAAAGAAGTCGTGGCTAACGGAATACAGCACAAAGCTGGAGAAGAGCAAATGCAGTCCAGGATTAGAAAGTACGCTTGCCACTATCTCAGCTAGTTCTCTCCTGATATTCTGAGTATCTACCCCATCCTCTGCCCTTCTCTGCCTTACACCAGGCTGCCCCTGTAGTCTCACTTGCTCCTCTCACCTCAGCTGCCAGGAAAGTTTTCCTGGAGGGAAGCCATCTTTTGCAATGAGTCCCATTTTAAGAGGGCTTGGCACCAGCAGAGTGCCCTTAATGGGCAGAGCGATCAACTCAGTGAGTTTAAATCCTACGAGGATAGCTGGACAAAAATACCAAGAAAGGGGAGTGGAAGGGTTATTGAAAGCAGTGGTTCCTGTGGCATCTCTTGGATCTGCAGACAAACTTCTACTGACTTTTCTTCCCTAAAGGATAAAAAAGCCTTGAGCAGTGAGCCAGGTGATTTCTAAAAATGTGTTTCTGGTCAGCCTTTTTCAAATAAAATTTGCTGCAGTTTGTATTTCAAGGGGTAAGGTTGGCTATACATCTGGGAAGCAAAAACTTTTGCTAAATCGTTTGATAGGCTCTAATATTTGAATTTGCTCGTTGTGGTACTTTGTACACAGCTGCTCTCATGCAATTAACCTGCCTGTAAGAAGTCTCAATCTTGGGGAAGAACGCCTTATGTATTAATATTTATGTCTGTAAATTGATAATGGCAGTTGTGATTGCCACTCGATTATACATAATGCATACGTTTACATAATTAATAACAGCATTAGAAAACATTCACCATTTTGCTTAATGATGAACAGATTGATTTTGTGTTTACATAGGTTATTATTTCTCCTTTTAAGTGGAAGCACGCGTGGAGTGCATGCCAGTGCAAGTGCACCTTGCTAACTTTCCTGGAAATTTGGCAATGACTTCAGACCCCAGCACGGCACCAGCATAGCAACACACATTGCTAGAAGGAAGATATTATACTACCACTTGTGTTTCCTTCAGAATAGGTCCCATTCCTTGTTGGGCTGGAGGCGTGGTGCCGCGGGCCAGCAGAGGAAGACCTCCCTGAGGACACCGGAGCAGGTCGATGGCCACAGGAGGAAGAGGAGCCTCCAGCAGGATGTCCATCTGCAGGACTCTGCCGCATGGCATACACGGAGCCCACACAACTGAAGGCAGAGTCAGTAGGATCTGCACTGTACCGCTTCATATTAGCTGGATCCAGATAATCCTCGGGGATGACTGTTTCTGCTCAGCAAGAAACGAAAGAATCAGTAAAATGGAACCAACATTTAGCTTCACTTCAAACTTCCTGTACAGACAGCTGGATGGCACAGATAGGCTGGACCCAGGAGGCATCTTTTCTGAGAATTAATAAACAATAAAGGGGAGCACAATCTCTCAGAAGTCAGTAGAATCATGACAGGGAAGTTTTGGCTTGATGCAACCCACCTGTTGGGCATCAGGTTAGGGCAGTACTCTCCCACTACTTCCCACTCCCACTGGGTGGGAATGCAAAGGCAGGGTTCACTTGCCTCATGGTGCTTCCTGAACACTACCAAAGCCGAAGGTCTAATGGACAGCGTGAGGATGAGGAGCTTCAGGAATCCAGCCCCTACGCATACATGCTATCTCTGCCTTAGAGATTCCCACTCCAGCTGGGTGATACAAAGCATCAGCATCAGGCAGACAGGGAGACCGCACATTAGGCAAGTGCCTCCCTTTTCCCCTGTGATGTTTCTCTGAGCTGCTGAAATTGCCACTGTCCTTATTGCGTGTACAGTCCTCCAGCTACATCCGAGCAGAATGAAATCACCTGTATGGTGCCACACATCTCCTGACACTCAGTAATAGGATGAATTTATACAGTAATTTATGCTGTAAGACCCAAACCCCCAAACCCCATTGCTAATATATGCTGAGGTTGTATGTAATAGTCTTTTCCTTTTAATTTACGTTCTTCATATTTTCTTTTGAAAAATCCCTTTGCAGCTGCATGTAATCGTTGATATTAAACAAATGTGATTTAGTTTGACAACTCAAATACTCAAAAGTTGTGCCACACCAGCATCCTGGCACACATGTCAAGCCATAATACAGACTCCTGCTGTATGCTTATCTGACTTTTCATTTGCTTGCTGCTGCCTCTTAAAACTTTGGCCTGTTCTGGGCTGAAGCTGGACTCACTGTCAGGCAACTATCCCATTGGAAGGACAGCCATGAATGTGAAGTTTTCTCACTTTTGGGCATTTGTCTTTGTAACTGCATGTAACATTCCTCTAACTATATTTTTCTCCCTTAGATAATTTGGATTCTCGCAGAGTGCATGCAGGTAGCCTTCTGCTTTCTGCCAAGGGTTTCTGAGCTTTATTCCCACACAAATACAAACAGAGTGTAATTCAGCTGAATTCAACAGAGTTCAGCTAATATAACACTAACATAAGGGAAGGGAGATGGGAATCTGGCACTCTGAACCTTTTTCCTTAGCCTTCAACAGATGTCAAAATTGTATAGCAATTGAGATAACTACCTTGCTTTTCAGACTCCTCCCTGTAAACCAAAGAAAATCCAATCAAGCTTTCTCATTCAAAGGAATTTAATTACTGTGTAGAACACTTGCAATAAAAGCCTCTTATGCATAAAGAAGACAGCTCTTTCTGCAGCATCCTGCCTGCGCCACATGGAATAATTATGCCTCTTGTGAATGATTACCTCTTTATTTCAGGAAAGAATTCTTTTTTAATATAATTACAATATGAAGAAGATACAGACTGTCTAAACAACAAACAGCACGTTAGAACAGCTCTGCTAAATAAACAGCATACAGCTTTTATTACTATAGATATAAATGACTCCTAAATTTGTGAGTGGACACCAGGGATTTTTTGACTGATGTCAGACTCACAGTAATCTATGTAAAATAAGACCTGCATGGATAAAAGTCTCCCAGTGGAAAAGAATGTATGAGTTGTGTATGAGAATATGATGAAGAACCAGATGCTGTTATTTCTGTTACCAACTCTGCCTAAGACTCTTTTCTTGATCAAGATCAATTTATGGTTAGACTAGATGATACTAGTGGTCTTTTCCAACCTTAATGATTCTATGATTCTATGAATTTTTTCCACCTATCACTGCTTTGGGCTCCACAATAGGAGTAATGATGCCTATGCCCTGGGCAACCTGATTTAGCTGTACAAGTCTCTGTTCATTGCAGGGGAGTTGTACTAGATGACCTTTAAAATCTAACTCTAAGGATTCTATGATTTTATTGCCATAGATCAGCAGGAGCTTGTGTTTGTTACTGTTTGCACTGTACCCAAGATGAAGGTGCTTTGGCAATTTGAAGAGTGACTCATGTCATTAGACGAAGTGGAACATAGATCATCTTACACAGTCAGGTTTCTAGGCAAGCCTTTTCAGAGCTCCCAGTCTTCAGATTGGCATCAGCAGTCAGTAGGATAGAACAGCAACTTGCTGGAGTTACCTCTTCCTGACCATGGGTAGCTCATGAGGAAAGACAGGTCACAGACTGGGAAAAACGAGACTTGGCGTTCAAGCCTGAGTGGTTACAGGTTTAAGTCATGCATTTATGAAAGGTTCTGGTCAGCTTCTGTGCTGCCTGCTCAGTGTGGGCTGCTTTGTAAAAATGCACTAGCCAATGCAACTTCAGCAGCCACCTATTCTAAGTGGGACCATCTTGATACTACCAGAGCAAACAAGACTTAAATATTAGGAAAAACAGAACATGCTGGCTGCTATTAGGAAGCTAACAATCTTGGAGCAAGCATTAAAAAGCCTCAACCAAAAGGAGATGGAGAGCTTTTCAGCCAACAGCAGCAGGGTGCTGGAGGATCAGTGGGCACACTCTGTTGGGAAGGAGGAATAGTAACATAAAAATCTTGGCTTAAAACAGGCTTGCCTGCCTGGACTTCACAGGCTGGGCTGCTTACAGTGGCACTGTAAATGGGTTGCACCATCCAGAAACTCAGAAAAGACTGTGGAAGCTTTCTGTGTTCACAGCTGTCTGGCTCCCTGTTAGCTGTACCATAAAGAAGGTGAACAATGTGCAGCTCAAGCAGCGGTGTGTCCAGGTTTGACATCTACTAATCCCACTTTGACCAATTAGAAGAAAATATATTTTGTAAGACAGCAGAAGAAAATAAAACTAATTGAGGCTTAAAATGTTTCATAGATCTGTAGCTTAGCCCATCTGTATTCAGTTGTACTCTTGTATACTTTTTTTAGGTGGCTAGCAGAAGAGCACACGCTACTAAAAAATGGTAGGTGGTTTTAAAGCAGAGTTAGGTGAAAGCTGTTTGAACCTTTGCTTTGAGCACAGTGGTCTCCATTACAACTTTTCACTACACTGAGAAGCTCAAGCCATTGTGAATTAGTTTTCCTTTCCAGGAATGGTCCACAGGAAATTTGGATGAAAAGTGGAAGTTTATTACATCCAGCACACCTTAAAATGTAGCAAAGGAGAAGAGGAAAAAAAAAAAACCAACAAAACATAGTCACCAAAAGCAAAAGCAAGGCCTGTTTTCCCAGTTTAAAAATTCAGGTTTATTTAGCTGAGATTCTGAAAGTAGCAGCCTGCAACTAAACTCCTGAAGATGAGTCGATGTGAGAACCTGCAGCTCACATCCCAGCCCTGCTGCATGACTTGGGTCAGGTTATCCATCACCTCTGGACCACAGCTCTCCTTTAGCATGAAGAAAAGTACTAGTTTTATCTCTCACCTCAGCTGCACGGTAAGTAATTTGCCTCAGGGGTATCTGTACACCACTACAGGATGCCACGTGGATGTAACAGTGCATGTGTGAATGCAGATCACATACAATGGACCTTTGATGGCATCTGAAAATAGAGGCACTCCGGAAAGACAAAAAAATTGTGTATCCCATTGTGCATTAGGAAAGCAAAAGAAAATTAATTGCAAGTGAAGCAGGAAATGGAGAAGAGAGTATACTCAGGAAAGATAATCCCTACCTGATATTTTTCTGATATAATCTTTCCCTCTCTTCATGATTTAAAAACAAAACAAAACAAAACAAAACAAAACAAAACAAAACAAAAAAAAAACCCTACTAAAATCTCTCCTGTAGGCAAAAACACTTCCTGAACCCCCCAGTAACTCCCTCTCTCCTCTCCTCTCCTCTCCTCTC